TCACCAGAGCCCTAAGAACAGACACCACTGCCTTCTAAAACACCTTTTCCTGGGAACCCAGGAAAAGAACTTGGGCCAGGGCAGAGGCTAAAGAGACTCCATCATGCCAAGCAACAGCCAGATCCACCCAAGAAGTTTCTTCTTCATTTGGGAAAAGCTCGTAAGGCTTAAGGAGGAACAACGATGGCACTAGCCATGTTCCTGTTTTTCAAATACAAATTGCCCAAGTGGAACCAGGGGACTTAAGGGAGAGTCCCTGGGGGCAAGGCCACAGCATATGGACCCCAGGAAGCGGGTACAAAGCCCTGAATCTCTTGGGCATGAAGATGAAAGTCATGTCTTGTGGGAAGGCTGCTGAAAGTCACCTGGGAAGTGACCTGTGAGTGTAGACGGTGCTTCCTGGCCAGGGAGCAACACCCTCCCCTGGGTGGCTGCAGAGTCACTGGGGCCTGAGTTCAAATCCCAGCTCCGTCTCTTCCTAGCTGAGCAACATTGGCAAAGTCGCCCATTCTCTCTTGGCCTTAGTTTCCTTATCTGTAAGATGGGGCCGAGAAGAGGACTGTGGTGGGAATCTGGGGTGACGATGCTCCTAGAAGCATGCAGTGCATAGTTTAACAGGTAGGAATGGTTCCATCAACATCATCCCCTGCTCTTCCTGGTTGAGATCCCTCTGAATCTCCTCACTGGTAAGGCAGGACAGCCAAGTCCGGATCCTCCCAGCCAGGCTCCCCCTCGGGCCCCTGCTCCCTGCGTCTGGCTTCCCCCTGCATTTGTGTTGCATGAACAGGGCTCCCAGTTCCAGCCCATTTCCTCACCTATAAATATGAGTTACCCCATGCCCATCTGCAAAATGGGCATCATAAGAGGCCCTTCCTCCCGGCAGCCATGGAGATTGAATGAGCCAGGCCAAAGAGCAGGAGGCACAGCCCTGGCTCAGGGGTAGGCGCTGAGTTGCACACGGAGCTGGGGCATGGTTACCCTGCTCAGAGCCTTGGATCCCCTGGCTGCAGAGAATGACATCCATAAATGGCCTGGCACACAGTGGTAGGTCTTGCACTTCTGCTATTTATTATTACTATTCTTGTTATCATCTACCTGGCTAATGAGGATCAACTCCTTGAGGCAGGTGGAGGTCACCCAGAGGGCAGTTGACAGGGCGGCATCTGGTCCCCTGGGCGCTCCCCACCCCCTCCATCCGCCACCTAAAAGATAATATCCAACAAAGACCAGCTGGGTGGGAGTGTCAGCCAGCAGCCTCTGTGAGTACAGATGGGTCAGCAGCCAGAGGCCACTCCCAGGGTGCAGATAAGCCAGGCAGCTTTCAGGGGTGGAGCACACCCACAGAGGGGCCAGAGACCCTGGGATGCCACTGGGTGGGAGCCTCAGCCAGCCCTACTTGCCCTTATGCCCACCAACCCTGCCTTGCCTTGCTCAGCTGGCTACACCAGGCACTGGGAGATGCTCAAAGAGTGAGCTGGAGGGATGCTGGGTCTCCTTAGCCATGTCTTGCCATAAATCCCCACTCACCTGCATTAAGGGAGAGTGTCCAGGGGCAGGGTCACAGCACATTGTCCCCAGGAAGTGGGTGCAGGGCTCTGAATCTCTGAGGCATGAAAATGAAAGTCACATCCCGCTGAAAGTCACCTAGGGCTGCTGAAATGCCTTTGTCTAGAATTAGCTCCTGGAGCTTCATTTGTCTTCCAGGGTCAGCTGAAACTATCAGCCAGCAACCCTGCATCTTAGCGATCTGTCCTCAGGAAATCGCTGACCAGCAGGCAAGTCTGGACGCTGAGGACACCCCTCTCAACACGGTCTGTGATGCAAAAACTTACCTGGACAAACAGAAATCTCACCTAACACTGATGATGAACATCTTGCCCATGGCCTGACTGGGAGGTCCCTCTGCCAACCACAGATCAGCTTAGAAGACAGTATTGCTGCTTCGTTTAATTGTATAACTCATCCAAGTTCATAGAAGAACTGGAAACTGTCAACAGAGAAATTTGCATCTCCTGTTGGAACACACCACAGAGGAGCCTCATGTGTCACCATTTCGGGCGACAAAGTCTTATGAAATCTGAAAAAGTTCTGGGGTGGCCAGGTGGGTTCGGAATGAGGAGGCCAGAGAGGAGTGAGAGGCGTCGTGGGGCCCCAGGTAGGGGCAACCCTGCTGGCTTGATGAACGGCCCCACCCCCACTCGACAGGCCTCACAGACACCAGGCCAGATAAGCGCACGCCCATCCAGGCCATTTTTCCTCTGCTATCTCTTGCTGAGGCGATGCTAACATACCGTCAGCCCTCTGTGTGATGGATGGCCTTGGGAAGCCGGCCCACCCCCACTGATTGCACCCACCCTCGGAGGGGCTTCCCAGAGCCTGCCTGCTCAACTTCAAGACTGGTTCCCTTGGGGGTAAATAATGAGCACCCCAGGGGTCCTTTCTGGGGCTTCGCACACGTTGATACACACCTGTGCCCACGTTCACGCACAGGTGTGCTGTGCCTTGACCTAGCCGACTTTGAAAGCTTAGAACACGTCAGTCCACTTCCCAGGGACTCGCCCAAGACCACATGGCCAGACGTGAGCTTCTTACTGACACTGTATTAAGTCATTATTGGGATCCCCTCCAGTTCCAGTGGCTGAGACACCATCAGAGCTATCTTGGACGAGACCGGCCAACCACCACATCCTCAGCCCCTCTTGGTTTGAGTTAAGCACCAGACACCCCAGACCGCTATTTCCTGGGAAATGTTGACCAATGTTTTGTCTCCCTCCAAAATCCTCAAGGGCATTCAGAAACAGGAGAGTAATGAGGGAGCCTTACGCTAGACACACTTCCAAGCTGCAAGCTTCCTGTGAAGCAAAACAGAACAGACTTCATATGGCGGAGTCCACCAGCGTGGGCGCGTCCCAGGGCCCAGCAGGATAAACATCGGGCTCTCTGATCCCGACCTCCAGACATACCCATTTGTCCTGGCTGCTCCTCGGACACATGAATGCCTGTCTCAGACCCCACCCTTCACCGCCAGCCGTCTCCGGGGAAGTGACAAACACCGGATAGAGCCAATGGGCCCCCGGAGTCCGGATGCCCACCATCCAGGGCTGTTTATGTTTGAGCCCATCTTGGAAGAAAAATGTGAGAACGCCTGTTCAGAACATGGTGGCCAAGCCGGGTCCATCCGGTGCCAAGGAGCTAAACACAATGGGAAAGGAGGCGCAGATGGAGCGGAAGGATAGGGCCAGACACGCCCGCTGAGGGAGACCACTGGGCCAGGCTGGGCCCTTCCCTGCGCCCTCCGTCTTTATGCTGCAAAAGGGCACCTGGGTGGTTCTTCCCTCCACCCAGGACTTTCTGACCATTCATGCCTCCCTCTTGGCCCACCGAGTCGTGTGAGTCCATCCTTCACTCTGCCCATAAAACCACCAAGTTGTAGGCAATGGACATTCAAGACAGATGGGCAAGAGTTTCTCGTGCGGGTTGTCGGTCAAAGCGCTTTCAAATAGCAGAACCTTATTTTATCCCCAGCTGAAATCTGTTGCTCTTTCCAAGGAAGGATGAGAGGCAGAGGGGCCCTCTTCAGCCTCACCGCCATGCTGGCCACTCAAACAGCACGCCTTCAGGAAGACACCAGCCTTTGAGCATGCAGGAGTCCTGAGGCCTGTGGCTTCCTGGGAACCTGCAACGGCATCGGACATTGAGGCAGAGTTGCTGTTACCAGTTTCACATCTTAGTAAGAGCCACAGTTTTTGACATGTCAACACTCCCCTCCCACCCAAAAAGCACTAATCAATCAATGTTTATTAAAAGCCCACCTTGTGCACAGGGCTGTTGGTTAAAACTCACCAATCCCCAAGATACTCAGGGAAAGGCTGGTTGCCTTTGGAAGCAGGAATGCTCATCTCGGGTTGTCAGAAGACTTGCTTTGGGGAGATCCTCGAATTCTGTTTCTAGTAAGTTTCTGCCTTTTGATTCACAGTGTGACTGCCAGCAAGTGCTTGGTGTTTTTCAACTGCAAAACGGAGATAAGAATGGTACCCACCTCTCTCGAGGGATGGCTGTGAAAATTAAATGAGTGACGCACATAAAATTGTGATAACCATGCTCTTAACCGCAAAACTCTGCATTAGAAAGTACACAGTTTCAACCGTGTCTAACAGAAACTACAGTAAACAAAAGTCGATTTCTCTCACTCATGAAAGCCCAGGCTCTGATCTGCAAAGTCCACAGGGGCTCCGGCTCCCTCTGTCTTGCTGTGCCTCTCCCACTGCGAGGTCGTCCTCATCTGCAAGGCCCTGAGCAGCTCACCCTCGCCCACAGTGCCCACCCCTTGGGTGGGAAGAGGAAGGGTTACTGGGTAGAGTCACATGGCCACAACCAGCCGCAAGGGAGGGTGGGAAATGGAATCTTTATTTTGAGCAGTCATTTCTTTTACTTAAAACTGGGAATATTACCACATAGAGGAAAGGAAAATGGATAAGGGTGTTAACAGGCCGTCTCAGCCACACCCCAGGAGGTAAGGATTGTTATCCCATGTTACAGATGGCAACACTGAGGCTCAGAATAGTGAAAGAAATTGCTCCAAAGCACACAGCTTCCTGAAAACCCCAGCCTTGCCCACTGGGCTGCACCATCTCCCAAGCAGCGGTGGAGGACGTGGTGCTTTCTCCACGCCGAAACGTGGAATTTCACAGGAGAACAGGGTGGTCACTGGGAGGCTGGGTGGGTGGCAGGAAGCATGGGTGAACTGACACCCATTTGCCATGGAGGCCCCCCAGGGAAGAGAGACTCCCATTGCTAAGGCAGGGCAGGTTCTCAGGAATGCGGCTTCTTCAAGCAGGAGGCAGCCCGGAGGTCTTTTCCCCACTGCTCCTTTCTTCCACCATCCCAAGGGCTTAGGAATGCAGAGGGGAGTCTCTCCCAAGAGCCGGCTGATGGGCACTCCTCCCCAGTGCTCCCTGCAGGGCAGTGCCCAGTGGGGTGGGGCCATCGGGGGCTGCCAGCTCCAAAGCCACCCTCCACACGCAATGGGAGCTGGAAGGACAGAAAACCAGGCTGGCAGAGGGGTCAAGGCAGAGGCGAGTGCCCTGTGCAGCAGACCCCTCTTGGGTGCCAATCTTGCATCCCCCCCAGCACTGGGCTGGGCACTTCACCCATATCAATGACCCACCACTACAGGCAGTAGGCCAAAGAGGTGGGTACTGTTACTATTCCCACTGCCCAATAAGGAAATTGAGGCCTAGAGACACGAACTAACTAACCCAAGTGATTCCCTAGAAGGGGCTTTGAACCCAGGTGTTTGGGCACTATGGCATCAGCCTGGTCCCATGAATAATCACCATCTTTGCAGCCGAGGGAAAGTTCAAAGGCAACGTGGCTCAAGGCCACCTCTCGATAAGCGACTCCACCAAGCATCTTTTACATAGAAATTCTGGAGACACACCTCAGACAGGTCTGGGGGTCCAAGGGATTTCCATTCAAAGAGTATCTTGGGCTTGACTCAGTGGCTTACATCTGCACGCCCAGCACTCTGGCAGGTCGAGACAGGCAGATCACTTGTGCCCAGGAGTTTGAGACCAGCCTGGGCAACATAGTGAGACCCTATCTCTACAAAAAATACAAAAATCAGCCGGGTGTGGTGGTACGTGCCTGTGGTCCCAGCTACTCGGGAGGCTGAGGCGGGGAGGATCACTTAAGCTCAGGAGGTAGAGGCTGCAGTGAGCCGAGATCACACCACTGCACTCCCGCCTAGGTGACAAAGCAAGAATATGTTTCAGAGAGAAAAAAGGAACGGTCCTGCCCTAAGGGTATCGCGTTCACACTGCCTGTGTGCAGATTGTGGTTCTGCCTTCCTACCTAAGGACCTTTCCTCTCTGGCCTCAGTTTCCTCGTCTGTACCATAGGGAGGAGAGTGACCACCCATGAGGGCTGTTGGAAAGGGCTCCCTCTGAAATGATAGACGTTGGCATTGCTGTTCTCCATTGTATTATTTTCGAGATTTTCTTTACATTTGAACTTAGATCATCATTTTTAAAAATTAAATGCAAGACAAAAGAGAGGATGAAAAGGATCTTAAAACAGATCCTTTATAAAAGACACCTCAGTCGTCACCAGGGGCCAAACGGCCCTCTTGCATGCTCATTGATTACACAACTACACCAATACGTCACCAACAAAAAGAAATGCATGACTTTTTAAAACTTAAACTTTCAACCATGGTTTTTGTCCCCAGAAAAACTGATCTGGACACACGTAACCCCAATCTGAGGGAGCCGTGCTCAGGGCACTGAGGTCAAGCCCCAGCTGAGATGCAAGCAGGTGATAGGTGAGGTGTCATTCTGGTACCATGATTTCCTCAAAACAAAACGGTGCAGGTTGCCGGAGCCTCAAGGAAGCCACAGGTACCAGTTACACCACCAGTGTGGAATTGGGACTGTACCCCAATTGTGTCTGGCTCCAGAGCCCGAAGACAGCATGCTGGGCTTACGCCGTGCCCTCCAGAAGCAGACCCTGAGACCAGGATTTGAGGACAAGAATTGACGTGTGGGATGTCCATGGCAGCAGCGAAGTGGAGAGGTGAGGCGGAGGAGGAGGACCACAGCACGGGGGCCTCACAGAGCAGGGCTACAGGCCAAGGGCGACTCAATCCCCTGGAGCGCTCTGGTAGTGGTGGAGAACTCGCCCCCAAGGCATCCTCCCAATGTGGGAGAGAGTTGGGGTGTGAACCCACCAGCCCCTATCTGTCACCAATCCCGAGAGACTCCAGGGCCTGTGTTCCCTGCCCTTTCTGGTCTGCCCTGTAGGTGGGCTGAGCACATTCTCATGGTCAGAGAGAGTCTCAGTCATGGATTCCCATGTACTTTGGGGTGGGAAACCCATCAGCTCGTTCAGGAGCCTTGAGTGCAGAGAAAGTACGGGCAGAGCTGCAAATGGCTGAGCCCCACGCTTGCCGGCACAGAAACCCTCCACCCCTGCAGTGTGACCCGGGGACCCCCACTTACTGCTCCATGTGAATGGATTACACTTTGTTTCCATTACCTTCTCTTAGCTATACTTACATAAATATTCTTTATAACAAGAAAAGAGCAATAAAAATAATTGTGTTTTTAAAAAGACACAACTATTCTCCAAACTGTCTCCCCAAAAGAGTCATCTTTGCATGGGGCAGGCGGGGGGTGGGAGGTACCTGGACAGCCCCTCAGCGTCTGAACAGAGCTTTCCTCTCTCACAGTCCCTGCCTCCTCCTCCTCGGACACCTGTGGTCTGTCAGGTGACACATCATTCCTGTCCATCAGCAGCCCCAGGCCATCGCTGCCGGCGGTGATAACCCCGTCCTAACAAGGCCCCCTTTGGATAGAAATTCCTCACTTCCTGGTGGTCAGGCTTGCCCTGGCCCCCATGGTCAGTGTGGGAGCAGGCTGTTTTTATTTTGGTCCATGCAAATTAATATCAGCCCATTGCCTGTGGAGAGAACGCACCCACGGTGCACGAGCGTCTGGCTGTCCCTCACTGTGCGGACTTGGGGTCTCCATGGAGACACCTGCACCTCTCTCCTCCCATCCCCTGTTCCACCATGGGCCATCAAAGGGCAGTGGCTCTTGACCCCTGCTGATGCCCAGCCCTCCAAACGTCAGCTGTCCATCCTCACCTCCCACCACAGACTGCATGCCACACTCACCATCCCAGGGCAAAGTGCAGTGAAAGAGCCTCTGCCCCATTTCTCCTTCTTTGACATTTTTTCCTGCCATCCTTTAAAAGCTTGACCCTCTCACTGCCTCCACCTTCATCCCATCAAAACCTGCTCTCCAAAAAGAATGTGTCAGCAGTCATCCTCACCACGTGTGAATCAGAGGGGTCATGGGGTGATGGCTTGGGGCAAAAGGGTCTTTTAAAACTGCCAGGGGATGAGAGGTAGCCTTCACGAATGCTGAGCATCTGCCTGCCTGGGTCCCAGCACTTGCAATTCTGGGTACGCATGCAACAAAAATGCCTATGGGCATTCACAAGAACGCACGTGCAAGAATGCCCCTCCCAGAACCATTTGTAATCATGAAGAACTAGAAGCCACCAAAAGCTCATCACTGGGATTGTGGAATGGACGGTGACATGGGCTGTGTGCAAAGCACAGAATACTCTGCCACAGAAAGAACGAAGCCTCAGGCCAGCCCCAACTAGCTGCATGGAGAGCTCTGGGATGCCATGCGTGCGTTATTCTTCAACTAAGAACCAAGGTCACCTCTTGAGTAGAGGAAATGTAGAGCCGCTTCTCAGAATTCTGCATCTCAGGGGACAGGCTTGGCCTGAAGCCCTGCAGAAGCCAGCCGTGCTGTGTGACCGTGGGCAAGACACTTAAACCCTCTGTGCTTTTGCTTCCTCCACTGAAAAACACAGCTAACAATGGCGCCTGTCATTAATATAAATAAAATAACATACACTCATATCAATTTAATATTATAAAGAAGCAAGGATAATAGTTGGTAACCATAGTGCTGGTGACAGGGATTTGATTAGCTCCTGTGGGTAGAGCTCGAAAAACATGGCCTGGTACACAGCAAGGGACCTCAGCGTGGTTATCAATACTTTTGTTACTATTATTAGGCAGAGGGTGGGTGGTTGAAAGCTCATAGGCTTTGGAGACTGAGAAATCTGCTGGCTAAACTACTTACTGTGTGGCTTTAGGAGAGTCGCTTAACCTCTCTGAACCTCAGTTCCCCATGCACAAAATTGCTTATTACTGTGGCCATTTAAAATAGTGCAGTGTTTCCAGAAGTTCACAGCAATGATCCTTGGATCATAGGAGATGATCTGTCAGTGAGCAAACTTCATATTTTCACCATTAATGTATTTATTTTAATATTAGAAAAATATGTAGTGAAAGTTTGAAAACCATCATTTTTTGGAATTAGTATTAATGGGGCTGAGTTTCCATTCACAGACATTTAAGTGTCTTCTAAAACAACTCCAGTTAGAGAAATATTAGTAAAACAGTATGGGGGAGTGACAGCAGGGCGGGAACAGGGAGGTGGTGCCCTCCCAGGGACACCTGCGCCCTGCAGTTGGGTCTGCACTGCTGCTGCTCAGCCCACACTGGTGGGATTACTAAGCACCCCTCCACCCCCACAGTGAGAAGCCTGGAGTGTGTGGGAAACTTCTAGCAGTGAAGGGCATCTCTGTGGTGAAGGTGTCAGCTGTCCTGTCTGTGGTGAGGTGGTTCTGCAGTGCCCTCAGGGGTCCACATGGCAGCCCATCCATTTATTAATAACCTGTATCAGGTAACCCTTTATTGCCTGGCCTGCCTCGTCAGTTTCCTGCGGCCTCTGTGACAAGTGACCACAAACTTCATAACTTAAAGCCACATGAACTTACTAGCCAACTGTTCTGAAAGTCAGAAGTCCTAAACTCAAGCTGTGGGCAGAGCTGGCTCCTCTTGGGGGCTCTGCGGAGCCTGTTTGCTGGCCTTTTCCAGCTTCTAGACGCCGCCTGCACTCCTTGGCTCCAGCCTCTCCCACCACCTGCAAAGCCAGCAGTCCAGCCTCTTCCCAGCTGTGTCCTCCTTCCACCTTTTAAGGGCCCCTCCATACCGGGCTCTGGACTCACAGCTCCAACCAACTACAGATCAAAAATACTTGGGGAAGAAGAATGAATGATTGCGTCTGTGCTGAACGTGTGCAGACTCTTTCCTGATCTTTACTCACTAAACAACTCAGCAAAGCAGCTCCTTACAGAGCAGGGACCGTGTTTGTACTGTGTTTGTGTTAGGTGTTACAAGTAATACAGTACCTAATACTGTATTTGTGTTAGGTATTACAAGTCATCCAGAGGTGACGGAAAGCATGCAGGAGGAAGTGCGTGTTTGTATGCAGATACTCTGCCATTTTCCATCGAGGACCTGAGCATCTGTAGATTTTGGTATCCACAGTAGTCCTGGAGCCAACAGCCCTCAGACACCAAGGAATGACTGAAATGCATCGGGCCCATCCGAATCATCCAGGACAATTTCCCTACGTTAAATCTGTACTTAATCGTATCTACAAGGTCCCTTTTGCCCCACGAGGTCACTTATTCCCAGGTTCTAGGGATTAGGACCGTGGACATCTTGGGGACCATTACTTTGTAGACCACAGGCTTCCTGGAGGCGCCTCTAACCCCAACCCCCGTAAGCCACCTGCACCCACGTCTTTGTCTCAGCTCTGCTTCTGGGGCCCCAGCTCACCCCTGCGACCAGGCAGTTCACCACTGTGCACTCTTGCTATGCTCTCGGGCCCACGCAAGCCTTTTGTAAGGAATTTGCCCTCACTCTGGTGCGATTCCCAGTTAAATTCACCATCTACCAGTGTGGCCCATGGCTTTTGCATTTCAGCTGGCTGCTGGCATATCAAGTTTTGTCTCAAAGTTAACCCTGCCAGCCTGTTTCCTTAAAAGAAAGACTCCAGATGAAACACGGTTAGCTGCTTCTCCCCAGACTTCCCAGAGGGCCTGCATCCAGCAGCTGCGATCCGGAAACTACGAGCCATCAGCGTGTATTAAGGGCAGAACGGACATCATGCCCGGCCGAGCTGCAGAGGCCACAGGAAATGAGGGTCCTGGCATGAGAGGGGAAGTTTCCTCCCT